AACATCTCCAAAATGCTTGTTTATAAAAGAACAAGTTGTTCCTGGTCTTTGACCACTGCCCTGTGTTGAATGCATACTATATGTATATATTCCATGCCCTGTTCTCTTGGCAAAGGGTACTGCTCTGACTGGAAAGAATTATGTAAGATTTATGTCAATAAGGAAATCTCCACAAAAATGTGAATATGTACCATATTACACTCACTTATTTGTATTATTTAATGAAACATTAGATTTCACAATCAGATTTAGTTCCTCAATGTACACATGTTAAACCTGCCTCCTGAAGGTTTATTACCTCCATGTGATGATGGTCTGTCCATCTGGGCCTGAGTTACTGTGAGTCCATAACTCACAGAACACAATGTATGATATGGAAGGAAGTCACCCCAGAGGTTACCCAGTCTAATCCAGCTCCTCCCCTATTAGGTGCTATCCTTTTACTGCTCCACTCAGTAAACACCTACTGAGTGCTTACTGTGGCTCAGGCCCCTTGTGAGGGACACAGGACACATGTGGCCCTGCTGCACAGAGCTCACTGTTGGGATAGGGAAAGACAAACAGCAAACTGGTACAAATAACTGTATTTTATGATACATGCAATGAAGGACCTGATAGGGGACTGTGGCAAAGAGTGACAGGAGGGAACCCGATTTAGAAGACTGCTCTGAGGAATAACATTTATGCTGAGACCACAAGGCAACACAGAGCATTCTGGGAAGAAGGCAGTAGGTAGCTGGGATCAGGGAAGATGTGGAGGAAGGGCGCAGTGATGAGGGAGCAAGTGAGGGGGACAGTGTAGGGTGAGGCTGGAGGGGTAGGGCCTCCTCACACAGGGCCTTGCAGGTCAAGCTTGGATATTTAGAATTTTTTTTTTTTTGAGACAGAGTCTCACTCCTTGCTAGGATGGAGTGCAGTGCAACCTCGGCTCACTGCAACCTCTGCCTCTCGGGTTCAAGTGATTCTCCTGCCTCAGTCTCCCAAGTAGCTGGGATTACAGGCATGTGCCACCACGCCCAGCTAATTTTTATATTTTTAGTACAGACAGGGTTTCACCATGTTGGGCAGGATGGTCTTGATCTCTTGACCTTGTGATCTGCTTGCCTCTGCATCCCCAAGTGCTGGGATTACAGTTGTGAGCCACTGTGCCCGCCCAGATATTTGGATTTAATTCAAAATGACAAACTACCATCCCATGGATGTTAATCAGCCGCACTCAGTTTGAAGAGATGAACATTATATCTATTTCTTAAGTTCAGTTTTTAAGCAAATTCTGATTAATTTACAATCTTCTAAGAGACTAAGAGTTAACTGAATGAAGGAGGAACTTTTAAATGTTGACAGTATTATCTGTGGAGAGCAGAATAACGGATTTTTATATCTTTTGGTATTTTTAATATTTTGCTGGCTCTTGATTTTAATAAACAGCATTTACTAGTTTAAAAATTTAAAAGAAACAACACATTCTCACGTTAAAAAATTAGAAGCCAAATTGCATTTGCCAATGATATATTTGTGTATTACATATATTCTATAACTGTTCAGTGAAATTTAAAATAATGTGGCCTAGAATAAATTACCAATGAGTAAAAACTCTTTTCTTTTTTATTCCTCCCATGAGGAAGAATTTTCTATGGAGAATTTATCAAAATTGTCATCGTTGAAATGTATTTGTTTAGCCTCTGTGTGTAGCATACTGCTCCAAAGGCTAACAGATACTCCTGAGCTCAAATGCTAGGCCTTGGTTTGTGTTTCTCTATCTAACTGTAGCTTGTTTCTGAACTCTCCCCTATTCTAGAAGTAATTGTGACTATGGTCCTAGACTAAAGTAGCTCCCTTGGGAAGCAGAGAGGTGGAATGCAGTAGAGCTTCTTTCAATTCCTCTTACTTCCCTGCTCAAGCCACTAGTTAGGTATGTTTTCCTTTGTGGACCAGGTTTACCTCACCCTTAACAAAAAAGTGAGTCAACTTTTCTCCATTGTTCCTAACAGGTTATTCAAATATGCAGCATGTATTAGTTAACCTCATCAATTCAAAATAAGTGATTCACTGGAAATGAGGACGCCTTTAATTCAAAATGCAAATGTATACAACATTTCCCAGCTTCCCTAAAAATGGCAGCTTTATTATACAAGATTCTGAGACACTATTTGGAGAGTTTAGAGATGTGCTCCCTAATCTTGAAGAACTTCAATTCTTAAAGAAAACATAAAACCAAGAAACAGAAAATCCTTTTGGAAGGCTTAGCAGTATGTAAAAGAAAAAAAAAAATCACAAGGTCAGAGTCAAATGATGAAAATATCTGCTGCCCATCTTTGTCAACGTGTAAACTTTGGAAATTCTGCATATATATAATTTAAAGCTGTGGCATTCAGGATTTTTCCTGTTGTGACAGATGAGGGAACACAGGGAGACAGTGAGCAGAGAGGGGGTGGGAAGGGGAAGCAGAATATGTGGAGCTGGAACTCCACTTGCTCTTTAAGCAGAGCATGCTACTTTGTGTTGTTTTATATATCACCTGAGGTGTCATTTCAAAAATGGTTTCTCAACTTAAAAGTTTTCAAAGTTTGAAGACACACTGTGATGACCACAACAATGGCGGCTGCCATTTATTGATTCTCTGCTGTGGTCTAGGCACTGGGCTAAGCATTCTGGATTTTTCACTTAAGTAATCTTTCACTAGAAGAACCATGGGAAGTAGGTCTTATTATTCCTACTTTACAGATGAAGAAACTGATGTTATGAAAGGATAATTATTATATATGTGGTTCTTATGTAGCAAGGCTAGGAATCAAACTCAAATTTCTTTGCTCCAAAGTCCATCCTTTCTACCACCATGCTGAATATGTGCTCCACCTGCACAGATTCACAGGCATTTAACATGTAAGCCAGCACTCCTAAACACACACACACACACACACACACACACACAAACACACACACAAGTACAACAAATGTACTAAAGTGCGTTGTTAGGAGAGCACACTGCCTAAACATTGCTTTAGTAAAAAAGGTTTAAATGGCTTGAGAAACAAGCTTTGGTCACTAAGGATGGTGAGATATTTCAGACTGAGAAGACAGACTGCGCAAAGGCCCCCTGCAAAGGTTTGTTGCTTTGGGTGGAAGCTGCCGATAGGGGGAAGCAACCTCTCCCTGGCCTCCCCATACTGCAAATCTTTTTGTGAAAGAATATTTTGAAACTTAAAAATAATAACAACATCAAAGAAAAAGAAATACTCCTGGGGTTTGACAGGGTGACATGGGCACCAAGGGGTCTATGGGAATGTCATCAGCAACAGGACAGATGTACAGTAATTCTAGGAAAAACTACTGGCAAAAAGGAAGAGAACATATATACAAAAAGAAGGAGAGCCTGTCACTGAGGCCAAATTCCTGTGTTGTCTGAATCTTTAAGTTGCAGTTTATTGCTGCTCTGTTTGAAGCTAGTTGGATGAACCTCCTGGACAGGAGAGAAGAACTCAGTATTTTCCCCCTTTAAATGGTGAAATTCTTCTAGGGTTTTTTTTTTTTGGAACCATTTCTTTGTTCCAGGAAGTTGTCAAAACATGTGATTTTTAATTTTAAAGAAAAACAGGACTGAAATGTGTCAAGTCCCTGGAAATAGTCTGAAACTCAATTGAGTTTATGCAGAAAAACACACACTAAAAATCACAAGACCATCTGGTCACAGAGATCTCAGTTTCTCTGACAACACCACTGGAACTGTGGGAGGGTAAGTCTTATAATCACCAAATGGAAAATCAGTCAGGAGAACAAACGAGAACAGACAGGTTTCAAAACAAGGTATCCTTGTTCCTGTTCCACTAAACTTCAAGGGGCATGTCATCTCCCAAGGGTAACCTTGGACTCAAGAAGAGACTCAGGGAAAACAGAGCAAGTCTGAGATGTGGAGTGCAAAGCAAATCATGTTGAAGATGTACTAAGGGAGGTGGCTGTTTAAAGAGTACTCAAGGCAAAAGTACATATAAAGTAGTTATTCTTTGTCTTTGTTTTGTGTTTGTATTGCTATAAAATAGGACTATTACAGTAGTAGTTATAATTCTTCTGAATGTTCATTAATAGTTATTAATTTTGCCAGTGTTAAATTCTATTGAGTATTTGAAGTATCTGATAGTCAAAACTGGATACAGACCAGAAAAGAATGAAAAGCAGGTAGAATCTACACTAAGCTTGTCTAACCCACATGCAGCCCAGGATGGCTTTGAATGTGGCCCGATGCAAATTCGTAAACTTTCTTAAAACAGTGTGAGGCTTTTTTTGTGATTTTAAAATTTTTTTAGTTCATCAGCTCTCCAGTGTATTTTATGTGTGGCCCAAGACAATTCTTCTTCCAATGTGGCCCAGGACAGCCAAAAGATTGGACTCCCCTGATGTACACACTCACTGGGAGATGGGCAGACTCATGTAGGAGCTTGTTTACAGGTGAGAGGGAAACGCTACTGGTCTTAGCAGAACCTGTGGTCAAGCCAACAGGATTTCAAATGAAATCTTGTGCACTCTGCCTTATAGAAATGCAGTAAGCGCAGGTGGCGCATCAAGAATTCATCTGTAGGAAAAACCAAGAGAAGCTCACAAACTGTTTGTGAGTTCTGAAAAATATGTGTAAAATTTGAGTCTTTTAGATAAGGTCTTGAATAGATAAATATCCAGCGGCTAACCTGCTCAGCAGACACCCTTCCTGAAAGCCCTCTTTAGTGCCAGCATCATCCCAGTGTTCCATATTTGCCCATACCACTGCTTATGAAATATTTCTCCTTTTGTTTAGTTTTAGGTGGGAGGATTACTGAGAAGTCATTTTGCACTTGGGAAGGAATGAATGGAAGTGACGTGGGGAGGTAGGGTTGGCCACATCAGAAGAGGGTAGGAGGAGAAGTTGGACTGACCTCCAAGCTGAGTGAGAGGTGAGGGCTGCGGTGTGCTGCAGACACCATCTGCTTGGCTGCTATTCTCAGCAGGCGATGAAGAGGGAGTTGACTTACCTGAAATTTCTGGAAGTGTGGGCTTGTCTTCTTTCCAGAAGTTCCCATCACAAAGAGGAAGTCAGGGGTTAGCACAAATGGCACTCTCTCTTTATTAATGCCCAGGAAACTTTTGTAATTCCCAAGAATGTGCCCGAAGTCAATATGAAATAGGTTTCCTTAAGAGAACAAAGTATCTGACATCATTACAGTGGCATAGCACTTTGTTCCTTAAAATAGTTTTGAGTTGCCTAAAAATGAGTTATCTTGGGTTGAAAGCATTTTTTACAATGTTTTGTCAGCTTATGGTATTTTTTGTCTTAGCAGGTGTGTGAAAGTCGTAGCCACAAAATATTCTTTGAACCAAGTATGTTTTTGATATCCTTCTTGTGTTCTTTAGATGACAGCCAGATGCCACTACAAAATTCTCATCTCAAAATTATCCTTAGAAACATAAATCAAGCTCTCTGGCCAGTATGTCATCATTGTCTCTAAGACTCTCTTATGCTCTTTACATAACTCAGGATAGACTGATGTTTCACTCTGCTTGGGGGCAGGGGTATTCATCTTTTTCTTTTGAGTAGCCATCTATGGCCATGTCACCCTGAATATACCTAAGCTCATCTGATCTCAGAAACTTGGGTAGCATGATAGAAGCAGAACACTGTGAGTCTCCTTTGGGTCAATTTCTATGCCTACTACTATCACCATCACAATTATCATCATCTTACTTGTTTGGCCCTTTATCATTTCTATTGTCCATAAGTACAGTATCTCTTTTCATTCTCACAGAAAGTAAGCAATCTGTCCCCATCTGATGCTTTTTCCAGACTCTACTGTTAAAATGGCCCAAATTCCTAGAGAAAAATCTTATGCTGTGGTGGCCACTACTGACTATTTTCAGAGTGGACAGTAAACCACGGAAGTGGAGTGGGTTATGGAGATTTAAAGATATCTATGAGTTCTTTCTGTTGCTTCTCTGCCACATCTGTCACTGGTAATCCCTCCCAGCTTCTGGGATATGACCCTCTCCTAGTTTCCCAGCTGTCACTCTAACTTTGCCTTCTTAAGACTCATTTCCTGCCTCTTCTTCCCTCACTCACACCTCAGTCCTAAAGTGAGGTGGTCTCTCTAAAGCAGGGGTTCCCAACCACTGGGCCATGGACTAGACCATGGCCTCTTAGGAACTGGGCTACACAGCAGGAAGTGAGTGATGGGCAAGTGAGCAACTTCATCTGTATTTACAGATTCTCCCCATCGCTTGAATTACTGACTGAGCTGCACCTCCTGTCAGATCAGTGGTGGCATTAGCTTCTCATAAGAACGCACACCCTATTCTGAGCTATGCATGAGAGAGACCTAGTTTGTACACCCCTTTTGAGAATCTAATGCCTGATGATCTGAGGTGGAGTTGAGGTGGTGATGCCAGTGCTGGGGAGTGGCTGCAGATACAGATTAACATTAGCAGAGAGGTTTCACTGCACTGAGACCATAATAAATCAATTCCTTGCAGACTCATATCAAAACCCTCTCAGTGAGTGGCAAGTGACAATTGAGCTGCATCTGGTGGCAGGCTTTATAGTGGCAAGTGAGTGGAAAAAAACAGTGTGTAATAAAGGTAATGCTCTTGCTCCCCCACCCCTGTCTGTGGAAAAGTTGTCTTCCAAGAAACTGGTCCCTGGTGCCAAAGAAGCTGGGGGCCCCTGTTCTAGAATAATTGAAGCACCAGTGTCTCTACACGACTTCTAAATATGTGCTCCAGTCTTAAACTCCATTTAAAGACTACTATGTTCTGAAAGGAGGTGGTGGATGGGGAGTTAGCATTTAATGGTTAAAGAGTTACAGCTGGGGAAGATGAAAAAATTCTGGGGATGAATGGGGATGATGGTTGTACAACAAGGTGAACATACTTAATATCACTGAACTGTAAGTATTAACTACAGTTAATTAACTGTAACTGTCAGTGGTTAATTGCAGCTAAAATAAATGTTATGTTACATATATTTTACCACAATAAAAATTTATTCTGCACTAAATAAACTCACCTGTCTCTGTGATCATAATATTGTCATTGTGTCTGTCGCCTATTCCAAGAACAAAGGTGGCCACACAATAGCCTGCACAGGAATAAACAAATCTCTCCACTGCTGCCTGAAACTAATTAAAATGCATTTGAATATTAGTTGTCTTCTAACTACAAAAAGCAGCATGAATCTACAAATGACTTCTAAAAAGAGACTATTCTGGAAACCATTTTCAGAGAGCAAGTTATCTGTGTCTGATTTCATTAGCATCATATCTATAAATCGCCAACTTTCTCATTGCTCTGCTTATATTTTAGGTGAATATTCAGTGGATCACAATGGCAGGAGGAAGAAACAAGAGTCAAAGGGTAACAGTAATTTAATCAAAGGGTTCACTTCCTCTCCATGCATCACCTGCTAACAACTATACGGAACACGTGGTAATTTTGCTTCATTTGTGAACATGCTTTGCTTGTGACCACTGAGAGCATGCTTGGGTTCACAGATCCACATATATAACAGATTAATAAGTGCCACTCATTACATTTCCTCCCCAAAAGGCTGCTAACCATGCAAATGAGAAGTGCTAATCCTGTGCAGCAGAACTTTAAACGACAGCAAACAGCCTAACCACACAGCTTGTGAAGGATTGAGCATATGCACTTCCAAGGAATGGTGGAACTGACATTTTCAGCATCCATGATTTACCATTTAGATTAGAGTTCAGCAGTAAATTATAAATTACTTTGTTGGGTATGCTGTATTTCCCAGGTACATAAGAATTTATACATGGTAACTAAATCTTTTGGCTGAACAACAAAAATAGCCATAAAAAGCACTAAGAGATTATTTTATAGAACCAAATTTTAAGCAAAGCATGCCTGATAATCAAAAGAGAAGCAAATGCTCATGGAGTCCTGAACTGAGTGCCTCTGTTTTATACACATATGCTGTCACCATGGGAGAGCACTTAAAACCTCCATTATTTCACAAATAGAAACTTCACGAATATGTCAGGAGGCAAGAGATTGGCAGATTCTTTGAAAACGTGAAACCAATATTGCTATATAAATGACAACTTGTAAGGAGCCATTAGACTGGGAAAAAGCATGAGCTCACCTTTTCCTCGGTAGGGGATTTTTCTTTGAGCCAGTGATTCAGGACTTCGTCTTTAAATGCTCCCGTGTTGCCAACTGTGCTTTGCTGAATTTTGGCAATTGTCGTGGCATCTTTCACAATCTCGATCATTCCTACAGAAGGATGCACGGAGTCTGATGGAGATTGGGGGCCAGTGCCTCACCCAGAGGAGAAAAGACTATGCCTTTGTTGAGTGAAGGGCAGAGGTTTTTTTTTTGACCAGAGAGCTATTTTCCAGGTCTATGCTGGTGGTTTTCTCATGAGGAATAGAAAGAAAAGGAGGAGGATATGGAAGTTGTGTGGGATATGCTTTCAATATCCCTGAATGACAAGAGGAAAGGGCTGGTTTTGAATAGCAATAAATAAAAGCATTTATGTGCTGAGCATATCCTTCCTCAGATGGCAATCTGTGCCTTTTCCTTTTTTAAATTACAGGGTCAAATGTAAATGGTTTTGTAGAGTTCTCAGATCAGAAACTTGAATAAACATATGTATGACTGAAACTAATTAAAAATACGTGATAGTAGAGTGTGTAATAGCTTTGATAATGTGAGTTCTGCAATGGTAAAATAAGCGACAGATCTTTCTATCTATTTTTAAATGTTATTTGTGAGAGAAAAGTTTAAAGTGTAATGAAATGAGTTAAAGTTTAGAGGTGGAGATGGAAAGAGGAGGGAACAAGTTCTTACTAAAATCATTTCCATGTATAATCACAAGGATTTGAATCATGCATTCATGTATTTTCAACAGATCCACATCAAATTGAGAGTCACATTCCTTTTGTGAAAAGGAAGAAAACACTTCTTCCTTTTCACAAAGATTACAATTGTGATTTTTCAGTTAGTAAATGTCTACACTGAAGGAATTATAATCTTCTCAAACTAGCTACTCAGCTAGTCTATTCATCTTCTGAGGTAACTACATACCTATTTTGTCACCAGTTGAAATGCAACCATATGGCAGGAGGCACAGATCCAAAGATTCAGTCTCCCAAATGGACTCCATGATTCGCAGAATCTGGGCATCAAAACACAGAAATGTTTATATTATAAATATATATATATATTAATGTAATATATTTTTCTTTTCCCTTAAAAATAGCAATCATATTTAGTAACACAAAATATAAAAGTAAATGTAAAACATATAAGCAACAACTGTATGTTTATTGGTCAATCTGGCACTCTAAAGTTTTTCTTCTTTGTGAGCTTGTTAATTTTGGTTTCTGAAATGTACCTTGGGGAAAAGGATAAGTAAATTTCTTTTGGAGTAGGTTTTAGCTGTGGTTCATCACCTCTCTGTTCAAGATGATCTGCTCTAGTTGTGTCTATTTTACCACAAAACTCTAACATCCTTACACATATTTATCACTCAAAGGCAACAAACAAAGCAGCAGTAACTACAATGATGATAATGATAGCGAATATATACTGAGTGCTACTTTATGTGTGATCCTTGCATTGCTCTATAATGAAGACAGGATTATTATTCCTATTCTATAGGTGAAGGAACAAAGCCTTGAAGAGCTTCAACAACTTGTCCTCAGCTGCCAAACTATGTGCCCCAACAAATAAACAAAGTAGGCTGGGCATGATGGCTCACACCTAGACTCTCCAATTCTGGCAACTAGCTGGTTCATGCCTAGAATCCCAGCAATCTTGGCAATTGTCATAGTGTCTTTCACAATCTTGATCATTCCTATAGAAGGATGCAGAGTCTAATGGAGACTGGGGGCCAGTGCCTGGTCCAGAGAAGAAAAGGCTATGTCTTTGTTGAGTGAAGGACAAAGAGGTTTTTTTGATTGGAGACCTATTTTCCAGGTCCGCGCTGTTGGACTTCTTCCTCTTAGGAGGAAGAGAAAGAAAAGGAGAAGAATATGAAAGTTGTGTGGGAGGATTGATTGAGTCCAGGAGTTCGAGACCAGCATGGGCAACATGGTAAGACCTCATCTCTACAAAAAATAAAATTTTCCAGGTATGGTGGTGCACACCTATAGTCCTAGCTACTTCACAGGCTAAGGCAGGAGGATTGCTTGAGCTCAGGTGTTTGAGGCTGCAGTGAGCCATGATCATGCCACCATACTCCAACCTCGGCAATAAAGCAAGACCTCATCTTTAAAAAATTTTAAAATACTGGGTGTGGTGGCTCACACCTGTAATCTCAGCACTTTGTGAGGCTGAGGAGGGCAGATCATGAGGTCAGGAGATCGAGACCATCCTGGCTAACATGGTGAAACCCCATCTCTACTAAAAATACAAAAAGTAAGCTGGGTGTAGTGGCATGCACCTGTAGTCCCAGCTACTTAGGAGGCTGAGGCAAAAGAATCGCTTGAATCCGGGAGGTGGAGGTTGTAGTGAGCTGAGATTGAGCCACTGCATTCCAGCCTGGGCAACAGAGTGAGACTCTGTCTCAAACAAACAAACAAACAAACAAAAAAAACCACACACACAAAGTACATAAAGGGCAAAGGCAAACTTTCACTCAAAATGAGAAGACCAACAGAATAAATTTTGAGTTTTTAAAATGTCTATCTTTGAACAATTGAAAATATTCTACAATTTTATTTGAAATTTAATAAACTTGCAAATAGTTCGATTTCTCTTTTTCTTTTCTAAAATACCTCCTGGACAATACATAGACCATTCCTGAAATGAAAGCAAAGCAAAAGTATTCCTGTTTCTATATTAGAAATAAATAAAAACTGAAACTTAGAATTAGAAACATGACCAGTTTATAATAGGCTACCTTTAAGTCAATGTGATTTGTCTACTTTAAACAAACCATATTAAGTATTAGAAATTATCACATCTACAACATTGAACAACTAAAATCTGGAGAATATTACTTTGTAAACTTGTGAAGCTAAAGTTTATCTAGAAATGTTAGAAAATATGAAAATAATTAGCACTGATGCTTTCACCGTTCTCCTTCTGCGGTAATAATACTTTACTCTTGTCACTAACCTGCAGGATTTCTCTTGTGACCTACTTGTTCACCTTCTCTCTCCTTCCCATCAAATCATTCGCTTGATTTGTGTATGTATGTCAGGGGAGATGTATCTAAAAAGAGTGCCTAGAAATGTGCAGACATGTCTATGAACTAGAATGAATATGGGGAATAAATATGGCTTGGAATGGGGTATATAAAAAAAGACATTAGGTGAGGCAGGTGTATCTGGCTACTTGGGAGTGTTGGATATGCATATTGGACAGAAATATAATACTCATTAGACTGCATATTTAATAGTCTGCAGCCATGCTCCCCAAGTGAAAACTCTCTATTATGTAATATTTGATCATAATTCATCATATGAAAGAAGAGAGCGGGAATACGGCCAGTAGTAGAAGGCATGTTTTTGATGTAATACAGAATTGTGTTTTCAGATAATTGGAAACATTCTTAAAACTAGCATACCTGTAAAATAAGCATGTCTTGGCGCAGATCATCACCATGCTTAAAGATAATTCCAATTGTTTCCTTTGATAGGGCTGTAGGATCAGCACATTTAAACTCAAGCCACAGTGGTTTTTTCTTGGAAGCCATTACTTTACATTTTTCAATCTGTAAGGAAGCAGTCACATGTTCCCCCCACACAATGAATAATCAATATATATGGTGGAGACACAAATACTCTTGCAAAACATCACTGTAAACAAGGACAAAGTCCTAGTTGGAAAATGATTTTCAATATTTGGGTAAAAATACAGATGTTGTTTTCAATAAATCTGGAAACGTCATGTGAGAGTGAATTCACAACTCTTAAACCAGTGCCTCTCAAACTGTGCTCCAAAGAACTGCAAGAGTCTTTGGAGGTGCCTAAGAGGTATGGCAGATCTTATGCTCTCCATGCACACAGAGCTCTGGCACTCCCACACTCTTTTTTTTTTTTTTTGAGACAGAGTTTTGCTCTTGTTACCCAGGCTGGAGTGCAATGGCACAATCTGGGCTCTCTGCAACCTCTGCCTTCTGGGTTCAGGCAATTCTCCTGCCTCAGCCTCCCGAGTAGCTGGGACTACAGGTGTGTACCACCATGCCCAGCTAATTTTTGTATTTTTAGTAGAGACGGGGTTTCACCTTGTTGACCAGGATGGTCTCGATCTCTTGACCTCGTGATCCACTCGCCTCGGCCTCCCAAAGTGCTGGGATTATAGGCGTAAGCCACCGTGCCCGGCCCATACTCTCTTTGATATACAGCAATCTGGCTATTATATTTAGCCTCCTTCTGAGATTTAATTTGAAAAACTAATTCTAATGGTACCACAATGTCAAAAAACACTATTATTTCAGAATCAGATGCAATAGGCTACAGCTAAGAAGATGAAATTTAATAGAGATAAATGGAAAATCTGGCATTTAGGTACAAAGCACCCTCCCCCTAAACCTCATACATCTAAATAAATTCAAGGTAGGAGAAATGTGGCTTGGCAGTCACTCACTTAAACATAAAAAAGTAGGGGTTTCAGGCAAAGTTGAGTTTACCACAGATCAAAATTGTGATCAGTCTTTTAAAAAAGCAAACACAATTTGAAGCTGTATTAATATGTCATAATTCCTATCAATCCCTAAATAATGGACAGTGGATAGTGTGTGCTTTTGCTACAGGGCCAGTTTGCTGGTAATTGTATATAAAATCAAACATTCAGGGGAAGAACTTCCTCATCTTTTCATGTGGCTTAACTGCTACGGGAGTTGCTGCCCTGCCATAAACAACTAGAAAACTATGTAAAATATAGAAAACTCTTTTCAGACATTGAACAACAGGCAGGGTAGTTTCATGACCCCTGAGGAAAGGAAGACAAATGAAGTGAGCTCTGTAATTGCCCCAGATTACTGCCTGGGGGGCTTTTTCTTAGCTACAGCACAGAGAAAGGAAATCCAGACTGAGCCCACAGTCCAGCAGTCTAAATTACTGTAACTGACGTCTCAGTGAAAAGAGAAAGAGGAAACAAAAAAAATTGGCTGAAAAATTTCCAAATTGGAGAGACCATAAGCTCACAAATCCACGGAGCTCCATAAACGCCAGCAGGCTAAACACAAAGGAAACCATACCAGGGTACATCATAATCAAATTGCTGAAAACCAGAAATAAAAGAGAATCTTAAAAACAGCCTGGGGAAAAAAAAAAGGCATGTTATGCAGACATAATCAATGATAAGACTCATCATCAGAAAACATGCAAGCCAGAAAAAAGAAACGCAGTCAACCTAGAATTCCATATTTAGGCAAAATATTTTTCAAAAATGAAAGCAGAATAAAAAGTGTTTCAGACAAAAGCTGAAAGAATTTATTGTCAGCAAACTTGCAGTAGAAAAGATGTTAGAAGCTCAAGAAAATCTGGAACTATGTAAGGCAATAAAGAGTACCAAAAATGGTAAACATGTAGGCAAACAGTTAAAAATTATTTCATCTATTAAGTCTGTTAAGCCTATTCTTAAAAAATTGTTTAGGGCAAAAGTAATAATATATTGTGGTGTTTATATTATACGTAGAAGTTAAAATCATAATAAAAATAATGTGAAGGATACAGGGGGTTAATGGAAGTATACTGTTACCCGTGTAATTACATGTATATTAAGTACTTTGTTATTTAAACATAATCAAGAGTGTGTGGTATTGATGTAAGGACAGACATTTAGATCAGCGGAACAAAACAGAGAGGATCTAGGTGTAGACCCACACATATACGGTCAGTCGATATTTGACAAAGGTGCCAAAACAGTTCAACAGGGAAAAAAAAACCAGTCTTTTCAACACATGGTGCTGAAAAATCTTGACACTGACATCAAAAAATGAACTCTTTCACCTCACACTGTATACAGATGTTAACTCAAATTGGATTGCAGACTTCAATGTGAGAATTAAAACCATAATCCTTCTAGGAAAAAATATCTCCCACATTGAGTTAAACCAGAATTTCTTAACCTTGGCACTGTTTCCATTTTGGGGTGGCTAGTGTTTGTTCTGGGGTACTATCCTGTACCTTTCAGAGTATTTAGCAGCATCTGTGGCCTCTACCCCCTAGATGCCAGTAGCATTCTCCCAGTTATAACCATTAGGAATGTCTCTACACATTGCCAAAAGTCCCTTGGCAGACAGAGGGATCACCACAGGCTGAGGCACTGGATTAGACAGATTTCTTGTTTTTTTTTGAAACAGGATCTTGCTCTGTAGCCCAGGTTGGAATGCAGTGGCAAAAACACAGCTCGCTGCAGTATCAAACTCCTGAGCTCAAGCGATCCTCCCACCTCAGCCTTCAAAGTAGTGGGGACTACGGCACATGCCACCATGCCCGGTAAATTTTTTAATTTTTGTAGAGATGAAATCTCGCCATGTTGCCCAGTCTCGTCTCGTACTCCTTGGCTCAAGTGATCCTCCTGCCTTGGCTTCCCAAAGTGCTGGAATTACAGGTGTCAGATACTGTGCTAGGCCTAGACAGATTTTTAGATAAGACACTAAAAGCACAAACCATTAAAGAAAAAGTTGCAAATTGGACTTAATCAAAATTGAAACCTTCTGCTCTTTGAAAGACACTTCTGAGAAATTAAAAAGGCAAGCCATGGCCTAAGAGAAAATATTTCTAAAATGTATACCTGATAAAGAGTTTGCATACAGTTTATATAAGTAACTCTCAGAAATAAAAACAAGAAGGCAACCCACCTAAAAACTGGTGAAAGATTTGAATAAAAAATTTTCAGAAGAAGGTACTCTAATGAAAAATAAGCACACAGAAAGGTAATCAGCCTCATTATGGAAACACAAATAAAAACAACAGTGATATTCGACTTCATACTCATGTGAGGACTGATAATAACAAGTGCTTACTAGGATGTGGAACAACTAGTGTGTAGAACTCATACACATTGCTGGTGGGAATTTAAATGTACAACTACTTTGGAAGAATGGCTTCTTGTAAAATTATACACATACACCATCTGACCCAACTATCCCACTGTTAAACATTTACTCAAAAATGAATGGAAAACAAACTGTGGTATATCCATATAAGGGACTACTACTCTGTCATAAAAAGAAACAAATTACTGATACATACAATAACATGGATGAATCTTAAAAGCATTATGGAAAGTAAAATAATTTAGATATAAAACTATATACTGTATGATTCCTCTTACCGAAATTCTAGAAAAGGCATTTTATGATAGAAAGTAGATCTGTGGTATTAGTAGAGAGAATGAGAGGAGAAAAGGACTAACTGCAATGGGACATGACAGAACTTTTTCTATAACATTTCTATGGAAATGTTCTAGATTTTGATTATGGTGGTAGTTATATAACTATACATTTGTGAAAACTTATTGAATTCTACATTTAAAATGGACAATTTTTATTGTGTATAAAGAATATCTCAAGCTGATTTAAAATAATATGGAAGGGAAACTGTCTGGTATTAAGGCTTTTATAACCAGTGATCAGACAAGGGCTTAAGAGAAACCGATTCATAGACTCTACAGTTTCCCTATCTCTGCACAAACATTAGCTTTTAAGTATTGGAACCCAGCAAGCATGTCAGACATCTTCAAGACATAAAGACCACATGGAGATATCCAAATGATACCTACTGCCAGTGCTCCTGCTTTCAGTCCAGGATCATATGGAACTCTAAAGCTTTTGGGGAGATGAGAATTCTGCAGGTTTTCAAGCTTTTGTTTAAGTTGTGCAATAACTGTAATTGTCAAAAGTACACAAGAGTTATGTGAGTTCAAGAAATCATCAATATTATCTATAACATTTTCTGAGAACACACTTATTCACAGCATTCTATATATTTGTTTTGGTGTGGAGCAGGAGAAAAGTGGGTGGGCCCTGCCTTTGAGGAACTAACCACACGAAGTGGCAAGATATGTCAGGCTTATTGTGATCAACATAACCATGTAGACCTACTACAACAGGGGACAGAAATATGTGAATATATGTGGGATAACACATAGACACCAACACAATCAAGTAGAGAAGAATGCTCTGCGGGTAATGTTAAGGAGTTTACACTGTAGTTTTCTTTCTAGCATGTGAAACGTTACCATCTGATTTGAGGAGCAGACAGTTGAAGAAAATAATAAATGGAATTTGGTTAGGGTTCTGTAATTTCTTTTCAAAAAAGGAACTTAGGTTCTGTAGAGAAGTAGAGAAGATGGATGTGACAGTATTAACAGTCTAAAGGCAAACTACATGAATTAAAAATTACTGGGTAATCGACAGAATGAGGGTCCATACAAATGTTTTCCTTTCTTAAAATACAAGTAAAATATTATTATTACCATTATCATTCTTAGGAGGAAGCATTGTAAGAATCAAAGGGAGAAAGGAGAAATTTAAAATATTCAGAAGTTTAAAATACTGACTGAGTACATGAAGTGTCTATGTAATGAGCCATAGCGCTAGGTCTAGGTACATAAAAATGAAAGAGATATTCTCTACATTCAAGGTTCATACAGTTTACCAGGCCAGTTAAGGACTTTAATTTAATGTAGTGTCAATCAAAATCTATAGAAATACAGAGGAGTGACTAATTTTCCTAGGGCAGGGGCAGATTTTCTTAGGGTATGGAGAATATATTAGAAATCTCTTGAGAGAGAAGACAGGGTCTGTGTGTGTGTTTATTACCTTTACACACACACACACACACATACAGAGTCATCTCTGGTCTCTGTAACGATTGGTTCCAAGACCTCCTGCAGATACCAAAATCCATGAATGCTCAAGCCCCTGATATAAAATGGTGTAGTATTTGCATATAACCTATGCACTTCCTCCCATATACTGTAAATCATCTCTATATACCTAAAATATCTGAAACAATGTAAATGCTATGTAAATAGTTATTATACTATACTGTTTAGGGAATAATGACAAGAAAAAAATTCTGTACATGTTCAATGCATATGTAATTTTTTCCCAAATGTTTTCTATCTGTGCTTGGTTGAATTTACAGATGTAGGACCCCAGATAGGAAAGAATGACTGTATCTCTATATATTACTCTGAGATATATACACAAAGAAATGCCAAAAATTTAAAATAGCCTCTCAACAATTCATCATTTTATAAAACTGAAAACTTGAAAACTATATGTGCATATAGTTTTCTTCACATCTTCAGAGATGTGAGGAAAAAGGTAAAGATTTGGAAATATCTAATCTTTGTGTATGCAGTTCTTCTTAAAAAATACATATTATATCTGCATAATGCTATTTAATTCTTCAGTTAAGAATATGTAAATATAAAGTTAAAAATTATGAACTTGTAAAATGAGAACTTTAATGTGCTTACTCTATGCAGACAGAAGACTAAAAATTGCGTTCTTGGTGCCTTCAGAAGGATGCAACTTGGATTCCAGAAAAAAAAGAATTATAGGAACAATGGCATTTGGAGACGAAGGCATTTGGAAAGAGAACCAAGAAAATATAGCCACTGTACCTTGGGAACTGACGTCATATTTTTCAGCAGAGAGCGATTTAATATCAAGGGTGACTTTCTGTAACATCTCAATTACTTGAACTTGTTGGGTAAAGTCATGCAGCATGGCTGTGCCACAGCCCCTCAGATAAGCTTCCAGGATCACGGCGAACCTCTGCTGATAGTGTCTGGACTGGGCTATCTCACTTCTCAAGAACCAAAACAAAAAGTGACCAATTCTTTTGTTCTGAGGGCAGGTACAAGAAAGTTGAAATTATTATGACTAATGCTTTAGGTCTAACTAGTTAATTCTCAGCAACTTAAAATTTTATGCTATTATCAAAATGGAAGTACTTACCCTTAAACCACGCTTCAGCAGAAATCTGGCAAGGGCACTATCATGGTATGGTTCAAATTTCACAGCCTAAAGGAAGAATCATATTGGCATTTGTAGGACTGTACTCTATGTTGTTGAATTAGGGAAAAGGAAATGGAGAAGAACTGGTACTCTGCTTTAGTGGGTCTTCATGGCTAGAAAGATGAAAACCTTAACAGTCACTTAAGTTTAATCCTCTCTTTTAGAAGACACTTAGGACCAGACTGAACCACTTGCTTAAGATCATAGAGTAGCCGATGACATAAGCGGGATTAGAGGCTGAAACTCTTGACTCACAGTCATGTGCTGTTGGTAAATTCAAAGGTGAAGAGGTGAGGGAATTTGCTCTAATTAGGTCTTACTGGTTTTGCTGGAAGGGTAGAGAGGAAAGATGGAGACACTGTAACAAATCTATAAAGTGGAAGGTAAGAGAGGATGTGAGAAAGAAAATGGACAGTGGAGATACAGTATAATACACGTAAGGAGAAAAATATTCATTAGCTGGGAAGATCCTAAAAGCCCTGTAACTTCCCTTTTTGGCATATCACTGGCAAGTTACTGTACTGTCTCATACGTTCTTAACTACAAGTAAACAGTGGGTCTAGGTCAATCCACACAGAGCAATCACTACCCCCTGCCACAATTTGGTGTGCACAGAGCTTCCTGTCCCAAAGTCCCTGATTTTATGTTTTCTTAAGTATAATTTGATCTTCATTTTTAGTGTTTAGTAATTTTCATATCACTGGGCTGATGTTAGAGAATATTGTCTTGGTATAGCTCCATTACTGAACAGGAAGAACCAATACAATTGGTAAAAACACAATTAAATATTTTGAGTGCATGGGTGTTTCATTGTTCTCTGTGCTTTTCTGAAATTTGAAATAGTTCATAATTTCAAAAGCAGAAACACTAACAAACATTGTTCAGATTATTATAAAAGCATGTATAGAGGATAGATGTCATATGTATACATGAAGAGAGACTTAATACTAAATGTCTCTGAGTATGCCCTTTATGAATAGAAATGGCATATCCTTTATCCTGAGGAATGGAAGAAATTCCCATTCTAGTTTATATTTTAGGAATGGGGGCTTCTTGGAAGGATTTACAATTCCTCCTCTGGAGTTCCAGTTTGGAAATGATCAATAGTGACTTCGTTATGTTTCAATTATACAAGTGTTTACAAAAATGCTTTCAAAGGTATTGTCAAATAGGTGCCACTGTAGCTGCATCAAAGGGCTTAATTCTGAGAATGTGGTCATTTAGTCACCAGTACTCATTTTTGAAATGTTTTAAGTTTCTAATCCAGATGTGAGTCTTTTTGACCTTCTTCAGGTTTCACTTCTGTAAAGACAGTACAGATCTCAACTAGGAGACCATTTTAATCAGGAATGAGTCATTCAGCCATTCAAAATGTCTCAAGTAGTTTTACAAATGACTACTCTTCTTCAGATTTAAGACCACAAATTCAATGTTAATATTATTTATTGACCTTTTTCATTTAACACATTTCTAAAAAGAACATTATTCATTTTCCAGCTCTTTAAAATTTACTTGTGAAAACTAATTCATGGTAGTCTTGGGATTTACAATAGAGCTCATCCAAATTTATGTTGTTTTTATTAAGGAGAGCTAGAAAACTGAAAATTCTTTAATTATTCTAAAATTGTTTAGTGTTATACAAATATCTAAACTAGTGAAACAAACTATTGAATATATTTAATGGATGAAAACAAAGCCAAATGTAATGTTTCAAGTATCTGACTAACAGGAAGGTGAAGATTCAGAGTTAAAGTTGAGGCTATCCAAAATGCTTATCAGAAAACTCCAGAGCTTCCTATAAATAATAGATAGTGATTAGACAGCTTAGTGTGTAAAATTTAGCCTGGTTAATTCTAAAGATCTCAGGTTAAACATCACTTACTCAGAACACTCCCTGGGCCCCTTAATCAAAATTATGTGTCCTTTGGATCCCTGGACTGCTTTCTCATAATATGGTATGGTTTACCCTGAAGTATTTGTCACAATTTGGTATTAAACATCTGTTTGTGTGTGTACTCATTTAATGCCAGTCTTCTCAGTACATGTTGTTGAATTAATGAGTAAATAGGTCTGTGCTCTAAAATAGCATTTCTATTCAAATTCATTTACTTCCTTTTCCTTGTCAAGCAGTACAATATAATTTGAGAACTGCTAAAGTGAGCAGGAGAACTGTTTCCCCTTCTTTCTTTAAATTCTTAGCTAAACCTTAGAAAAATCACTTGTCCTCTCAGGATCCCAAGGAATGTCATGAGAAAAAGAGTAGTAATACATACAGTCCTATACCTGTCTGCAGAGAGGAGCTTTCAAGATTCTACCCAGATATGAGATGTTATTCTGTGAACTGTAATAAACAGAGAGAGTAAGACCTTTTCTCTCTAGCCCCAGATTCCTGAGACCAGACTGATGAAGGATATGGTGGTGGGTTTGTGAAAGGTTTGGGGCAGTGAAAAGAGCAGGATCTGGAGGCAGACCTCCTGGGTTTGAATTCTGGTCTGCCTCATTCAGAGTATGTGACCTGGGGCACCTTACTTAGCCTCTTTGTAGCTCAGTTTCCTCATGTACAAAGTGCAAATATTAATTTGACTTCCATCATAGTTATTGGAAGAGTTAAATGAGATAACATTGAAAGCATGTCAGTCACTTGGAGTCACAAGAAGCATTCAGTAAGTGGAATCTATCATTAAAGTAATAAATGAGAACAAAGTATTCTCACAGGGCCAATTCTCGTAAAAACGTGAAGTACTACTGTCTTCAAAATACTTGTCAGCAAACCCTCCAAGACAGTAAAAATGTGCATGGAACAGTTTACTACTTTTTGAGGCTGCTTCATCAGATCTACTTTGGCCAGTGATGAAGCTCTGAACAAAGGGCATTTGATGACAACTGAATGGGGTGCTTGTGCACATGCAAATAAATTCCTTTTGAGAAGGTTTCCATTGATAACAACACCACCACCCCCTACCTGGACCAGCTGTAGAAGGTAATGCAGAACATCATCGTCCTCCAGACTCTCCAGTTTCTGAACTGCAATGGCTCTTACATTTTCATCTGAGAAATTGCAGTCCAGGAGTTGCATTGTTAAGCCAACATCCAAAGCACTTTGATCCCAGACTTCCCTTCTGGCCAACAATTGGTATGTTTTGGCCACAATTTCTTGCTGTCCCCATTTCACTGAGCTAAATAGCTTAGGATATGCTTTTGGGTGCTTAAGGCTCTCATATCTAAAGTGCCAGAGCAATTCTTTGTCCTCTGCTGTGAGAGGGTTAAGTGGATCAGTGGCTATGATTGCCTCCAACTGCTTGCGAAGCTGGTTAGGCATTTCTGCTCGAACTCGGTCACCTTCCGGGTCAGGGGTGGGCTGATGCTTAGGCAGGGCTATTGGGTAGCAGTAATTATCCAGAAGAATGGAGATGGACATTGAGTTCTCCTTGTCTGGGTTGGTTGCAGATGTGAGTTTGTCAGCATTGAAGCTTCCTTGGTCTTCTCCTTTCCCGGATATCTGCCACATGTGGAGAACGTATTCTCCACGGCGCAGGAGGAACCGGTGGTCTATTAGCAGCAGGTTCACATAATAGAGAAGCTGAGCTTTGCCCTTGGACTCAGAACTGGGGGACTCCGCAGGGACCTTGCTGGACAGTGCTGGAGCTTTACCGCAGTAGATCTGGAGGTTCAGTAGAGCCCCTTTGGGCAAGTCTTTGATTTTGATACTGAACTCAAGCCACACATTCCAGAGCACCTCCTCTGTGAAGGGTTTAGGGCTGGTTCTCCTTTGGCAAAGGACTTGCTGTCCATGTTGGATGTTTGCCTCCACAAAAACTGTGAGGTCGGTGTTCCGTGGCAGGACTGGGATATCAATGCCTCTGATCTTCACCCTGAACTTGCGGTCACAGTCCCACAGGGACACAGTGAACACACTCTCATGGTCCTTGCCATGGATGGTCAACTGCTCATGGTAGCCGGTGACTCCCGTGCAGTCGTCCACGAGCGGCCACTCTTCCTTCCTCACCTCATCTAGGGCCGGATCTGGAGGCGTGTCCAGCACCAGGTGAATCTCTTCTCCGTTCTTGAGGCAGTGCCTCACCCACTGGAAGTTTTTGATGGGTGTTTCGCCCACCAGGTACTCATCGCGGCCACAGACGCGCAGCACAAAATCCCGTTCGCTTTGGCTTTCGGGGATATCCATCAGATATTTCTTCTTGGCCATCTTGGTGAAGAAGCTCTGCAGGATGGTGCCAGGGGTGTCGTCGGCCGATACCTTGATGGTCTGGCTGGTGGTGCTGCGGTGAATGACGATGAAGATGCAGTTGTTGGCAATCTTCTTCCAGAGGTACTCTGGGAGGGGCTTGGACGTCACCCAGGGGTGCATGGCGTAGAGCCTGGGGTCGCGGCTGGCCACCTCCGCCATGCGTGGGGTCACCAGGCCACGGCGCGTGAACTCCAGCTCGTCGTCGTGCACGTTGCTGACGTCGGTGACGTCATAGCCAATCAGCGCGGTGAGCTGCCGCTGGAAGGCCTGCGACTCCTCAGAGGGCGCACGCCGCTGCACCAGGTGGATCTGGCCCGGGCTCCGGTGCGTGGCCTTCCAGTAGCGCAGGCAGTCCAGAGTCTGCACCACCTGGTATTTGTCGTAGATCTCGTACCACTGCCCCTTCTTCTGGTAGAGCAGGAGGAAGTGGTCCGGGCCCAGCCGGTGGTAGAAGTCCGCCGCCACGCTCGTCTCCAGTGCGCGCAGCCACACCTGGGCCTTCATCTGCTCCACGTTGCCGTGACCCGCCACGTGCAGCAGCGCGGTTTCGGGGCTCTTGCAGTTGCGCTGGCTGGTGGGCAGCACAAACTCGATGGGGATGAGCTCCATGGGGGACAGGCTGGCCGCAGCGCTGCGCGGCTTCATCCTCCGGCGCCTACGGCGGTTGTCCTCTCTCAGCACCACAGGCTGTTCATAGTTCTCCAGCTCCATGCCCTATGTGACCTGGGAGCGGAGGGACACAGGGTTTTGTCACAAGAAAGGCATTTTCACTTTAATTTTTTCTGGTGAGATGAGGGGAAGAGGAGGTATAATCGGCAGACATGTGCACAGGGACCCAGAGAGACCAAGGCTTTTAAGCTGGAAGCACTACAGCCTTTCAAAACGTGGGCTTTGGAGTCGGGCGGTGAGTCTTGGCCCCGCCAATTACATTCTGGGTCACTTGGGGGCTGTTTAATATCTGAGACTGTTTCTTATCCCTCAAAGGAGTTAGTAATGCCTCAGAGGGTGGAGGTAAGAGTTAAATAAAGTAATACTTGTTCAATATGGGTGACAGACACATGGAGGTTTATTGATTATTCTACTTTGGTATACTTTTGACAGTTTTAAAGAGGTGGGTAAAACACTCATCCTGCAGAGTGTGTGACACGTTATATAGCTCAGAAAGGAAATTGTTCTTAAACATACTGAAACGTATAGATGACTAAAATAGTACAGTTAAGGATCAAGTCCAGGTTTACAAGGTGCAAGATGAGATGCCAGAAAACCTCACTTTGAAAACAGGCCCTTAATTTACTTCCTCTTTGTTCAGTCTCACACTTCTTGGAACCCAGACACTTCACCCAACTTTGCTTCACGTTCCCTGTTCTCAAACTGCCTGGGCCCAGGATCTACTCCCTAGTCAATTTCCTGTCTCTTGGATTCATTTTTTTTTTCTAATTAGGAAAGCAAGTCATTTCATTCATAAAGCTAAAGAATGTTGGAATTGGTAAAGTTACAGTCAAAACTGTTTGCAGATATGTAAAATTTTGAATCATAGAATTTGTCAATATTCTGGCTGTCACTGCTATATTATGGTAGTATCTGAGAAGAGTCACCCAAGACTGTACTCTCCTAATAGGAACATTTAGATAATTTTAGCTTTGTACCAATTAATTTGATCTGTCTCTACTTAATAGTGAGGAAGCCACAGGATGGAGAGCAGGATTTCTGGAATCCAGTGACCTTATGTTTAGATCCCCAATCAATTATTTAACTTTTTTTTTTGCTCTAGTATTTTCATTTTTATAACACATATTCACAAATTTATTCTCATTAACCTACTATTTCCACAAAATTCAATAAGTACCTACCCTTCACAAAGCAAGTAAGCATAAATGTGACATACTGCAATATGAAATCCTTCAAATAATGACTGAAATTGGAAAGGCATTAACACTGAAAGATGAATAGTTAGGTATTTTGCTTTTAATATTTAGTGTTATTATATTGTAATGCATTATACTCTAAACAGGAATCAACTATTGAAACAAAAAATATTTCAGAAAATATCATTTACTCTTTTAAATAACTAATGTTAGACTGACAACTACATTATTTCCTTAAGAAAGAGTGGAGCATTTGATGTATACCAAAAAAGAGAGCTTGATTAAAAGATAAGAAAGACAAATTTCATTTGATCCAAACTTATGTTCAAATCTTGGCTTAACTTTTAAAACCAATATTCCCTCTCTTAAAATATCAACTTATATTTAGTACGTGAGACCAACTGTCCCAAAGAACTGTCTCTTGTGGCTTAAAGCATTCATTTTGGTCTTGTGCTGCATTATAGAATAACTAACAAAGAAGAGAACTGTAAGATATATTGATATTGACACTAACTTGAAATAAAACATATCCAAATTTAGGCAGCATATAAATACACAGCAATAACTTCTGCCTCGGTGATACCAAACGATCTTAAAAGATGCAGAGGAAAACAGGCTGACTAATACTCACTGGTTTCCTTCATAGTTGAGCTATGAAGCTTTCTCCTTTTATGAGAAGATGTTGGAAACACTGTAAGTACAGTAATCTTTAAGCATGCACTTGTAGGAATATGGAGCCTGGCTGCCGTGCCTTCCCTTTTCCTCCCCAAACAAAAACAAAGATCTGATGCACCTGCAAAACTATTGCCGGAACCTAGTGGATATCCACAATACAGGTTGGACTAGACAATGAAACAAAGACATTCAGTGGTAGTATCATCTCAAGAATCGACAACAGTTCCAGATAAAAATAATCTAGCCCAGAAGGAAGTGCCACTATTCCGAGTCAGACCCAACAAAGAGCAAAAATAGAAGGAAGCAATACCTGATAAAGCAGCGGAGGCGATGATGCCGAAGGATCATTTGTTTAATTTTTGAAAACAAAACAAATTCAAACCTACCCAGTGTGCCTGTAAACTCTTCCGCTTTTCTGGGGCTCCCTTCATATCCAGATGCAGAGGAAGTGTTGCAGTTACCAGGAAGGAAGTTTTAACCAAGTTGATTATACGTGTGATTGCTCATTTTAAAAGTGTCAGAAATGCATTTCCTGTTTTAGCATAGGGCAAGAGTATGAGACTGAGCAGTGTTTACCATGGTTTTTTTTTCTTTTTCTTTTTTTTTTAACTCTTTGAACTAATTTTTCAAAAGTTGTGATACTGAGACAAAATGACATAAATCCAAACCAAAAATATCCATTATGAGACATAAACATATGATCTATCTTTGTAGCTGGTTCTAAGTAGAAGAAAAGGCCTGAGAGCTACAGTATTAGATATACTATTAGGAAGACTTTTACCAGTCAAATTAAACTCATTCCCTTCCTGGGAATTCAAATGAATCCTTGTTTGTACACTAACTGGGGAGTGGGGGAAGAGAAACCTAGTCATCTTGAGGACTAAGTTATCAAGCTGAATATTTTTAAAGGCACAGTCTGGGAGCTCACTTCCTTAGCTTGGTGAGAGCTTTCTCTATTTTTTCAGAGCATTTGGGGCCTAAAATATCACTGGCTCAGACTGAAAGCACTGCAGCATGTGCATGTGTATGTATATAAATGTGACATACTGCAGTAAGTAACCCTTCAAATAATGGTTGAAATGCTAAAAGTATTAAAATTGAAAGATGAATAATAAGGTATTTTGATTTTAATGCTTAGTACCACTACATTGTAATACAGTATATTCCAAACAAGGATCAACTATTGAAACAAAAATTAATGCTTCAGAAAATGTCATGTGTTGAGGATGGAGCCTTACTGTCAACAATGATTGATCAATTGACTGCAGACAAAATATCTGGTATCAAGGGGGCAATATTTAGTGTCATGGGAAAATATCTGGTATCCTTGGGAAATATTTGGTATCATGGGGAAATTGGGGAACTGAACACTGTTATACCATCAGGCAGTTTCCATTTTGGGAGATGGCTCCTGATTCCTATGGGAGTAGAGAATGAATAGAAAGGCCATCCTAAATCATGTTTAGGGTAGCTTTGTATTGTTCAGGTGACCTCAGTTCTTTGCAGAACCTCTAAGCAACCTGAACCAGTGCCCCCTCCCCTCCAGCTCAAGAGTTTCCTATACTAGAGTTCATCCTGCAACCTGGGTGTTCAAGGACTCCAGCTGAGCTTCAAGGACAGCAGATAGGATGGAGATGGCCTCACAAGTCTCTTGGAGGTATGTAACTAAGAGTTCCTCTGAATTACTCTGATATCAAGGTAAATGATTGATTTGACTTAATTCCTTTTACATATGCCCCGTGGATTTTAACTTTTAAATAGCACTCTAATAGTTGACATTAGCAGGCAAATCATTTAATTCAAAGGCTGCCTCTCAAATATTTAGAAGGGGCTTATCAGCTTCCCAAAGTATATTCCTATATAGGAATACTCCCTTAGGAGGCTGGCAGCTTTAGAAGTGTCAATGCTTGCCTTCTGTGTTGGTCCAGAGGGAAGATCAACACACTGTAGCCACCAAGTCATGATGTGAGAGCTTGTCAAACTGTGTTTTACCGAGAATGTGTGGGAGGGTTTATTGGGGTGGGTGGAGTGGGAGGAGGTTTGAGAGTAGAAGGGCTGACTTCAGAGAGACCATGAGTTTGGCCAGCTTTGTCCCCAAACCATTCAGCAGATCCCTTCCCTGTCCTGGCTCAGTCACTTCCAGGGGGCCAAGTCCCAATCTGGCACTGGACACACACACACACACACACACACACACACACACACACACACACACACACTTATTCCAGAAATGATAGCCTCAGTCTCTTGGCCCTTCCTGATTCTGAAGGAACAGTTCAGCTAAGTTTGATTATGCAAAGGATTTTCTGTTCTATGATAAACTTGCAAATACGTCAGGTTTATTGGTGGTTTGAGATTAAAAGTACCCTGCTCTTCCCTAAATCTTAATATAGCCGCTAAAATTTGACTATCTGTAGTAAATGCTCCCAGGGTGAAGTAATGGCAAAGATTTCCTTCCTCTGTGGATACTTCCTTCAGGCAGAGTCATCCTTTACAAGTAAGAATATTTTATATCTCCATCTCCAGAATATTTAGAAGATCCTCAGTCCTCATTAATATCCTGTTTTAATAATATATTTATTATTTTTCCCTTCTGTGAATCTGTAGACATACAGTGCACTGTGGCTGGGGAAAAAACACAAAGGCTCTCACCTTCTATATCACATAAATTATCACAGCAATGACAAGATAGAACAGTTAAGAAAATAAGAACACAGTAGGAAGTATTGATAAATAGACATGAGAAGTGAATTATTTGTTATGAGCAAGGCTCTTTGCAATGGCCTTCAGAGAAATTATTTATGTTATACTTGGAGAGACAAAACATGCAGAGGACAGAATTACATGTGCAATGTGTTAGCATATGCAGTCCAAGTGGTTTAACTGTATGATATAACTTTCATTATGTAAGTTTATTGGAGGAGTTCACTTTGGGTGGGATTTTAAAATTTTTGTTTTAAATATGTAGGGGAAGATCTGAGTTTCAAGGCAAGAGGAATCACAGGGGCAGGTCCTCAAGCCAGAAGGCAAGTAGGGAACAGTGAACAGGTCAGTTCACTGAAATGGAGAGTTTGTGAAAGAGCAGTATGAGAGATGGGGAGACACATGACAAGACAAGTGTGTGTTTCCCATATGAATTTCACGTCTTGGCACGTGTAAATAGTAGTGGTA